GTGACAGGTTGATTCAGGGGGGTTGATGAGCGGTTAGCGTCTAGGTGGCAGAAATGTGGCCCGCACGCATGATATACGAGCAGTGCACTTTGGAGTAGTGTGGATGCAATAATGCTAATAATTTCACCGTTCCCCTAAAAGGAGATAGCCAAATGGTGATACAGGTCCGGAGTTGTCGAGTGCCCTGAGGACCATGTGGATCGCTCGGGCGTGATCACAAAGCAATCACAACCTTTTCTAATGAACCCTGCATGATTCTTCTCAACTTCGGCTCAGACGTGTCGACAACGGTCTGTGCGCTGCGTGTCCGGCCAGAATGAATGCCGTGTTAGCCGGGTGCCCGGCCTCCTCCGCATTCAATCGCACACATGCATTATACTATTAGGCTCCCTTCGTGGAGATCCATTGGCTTCCATTTTTTTATCTGTTTCTGTATTCGGCTAGGGAGGAGTCGTCAGATCTCTTTCTTTGTCACTGTTAGTATATCAGTCCTCGCTTTGCTCCATCTTCTTCTCTTCTTCACCCTCCCCACCCACTCCTCCATTTCCTCTTTTTCCTCCTTTGCCCCGCACGCTCACTGCCTTGAGGAGCCCCGTATCTCGACCCTTTCATCGCCCCCCGTACCACGGATTCATCAACGAACAGGTCAACTTGGTAGAGAATAAGGATGGCACAATTACCGTACAAGCTCCCTCGTCTGGTCACTCTTGCTCTGACGAACGCGTTTGGTATCATTGGAGGTTCAGTCTGCATCAACGCCATCGTCAAGTGAGCACCCTCCTCCTCCTTACATCATTCATACCCGTCCCTATCGGGTGACTCCCGCCAAGAACGGGTCTTTTCAATATCTCATTCATATCATCTGTATACTGATGACCTTTTCTAGACGAAATCAAGCGGTGGCTGCCCTCAAGCATGAAGTCGCACCCATGGGCATCACGCTCAGCGTCGACACTTTTGATCTCTTGCGACCTGGAATCGTCCTTGCTGTACGTGTTTCATTTTACTCTGCTGTCTATCCTCCCCCCTTCCCCACATGCTTCTGTCTCATTTGTACGCATGCGTCACACGATCACACTAAGGCAGCCGATACCGCCGTTCACTGTTCCTCATGACCAATCACCCCCGCATCACACTAATCTGATACTAACTTGTTTTACTGTACAGGTCGGATGTGCTGTCGTAGGCATTGTCTCATTAGCAGCTCTCAGCCTCTTGCTCTTCGACATGTTCAAAGGCCGAGGCAGCTCCAATCTCACCGCTACATCCTCCAAACTCCCCATCTCGACACGCACGCTCGGTTTACAATGGATGGCACTCGGCTTTATGACCGTCTGGATCCTCGCGTGTAATATCGCAGTGACGTATATCGCCGTGAACAATGAGGCCAAGACGACTGCGTATTTGGGAGGTAGACAGTTATCTCAGGCTCTTGTGGAAGCGAGGGAGAGACAGTTGGGTGTCAACCCGGCTTATTGGTCCAACGACTATGGTAAGTTCCCCGTCTTCCCTTTTTACTTGGATTGGGTTGTGGGGGGGGATTGGTCATGAGGAACAGTGAACGGCGGTATCGGCTGCCTTAGTGTGAT